CCGCCACTGTGTTTTGCTCCTAACGGTATGAAATATTTCCTTCAACGTAATTTCACGGAAAATCATCGAAAAATGAGACGTCCTCTGGTTTTCTGCGACAACAAAATATATTTCTAGAGGGAAGAAAGCTATGGCTGCCATCTATTGGGCGGACAGAGATATTCGACGGCGATTCCGCAGAACGCAAACTGCTGTCGGAAACAATAAAGCATTTATCCGAGCTGCTCCCACGTCACGGATGTGACATTCAATGAACTTTTCTTGAGTGCAACGAACACTGGACTTTTGGTGACATATGGTTTGCAGGTCCTCGTTTATGGTCTTTAACTTCGCATTGCAAGCCTAACGATGTCTTTTAACTTGGCAGGTTTAACGATGTCGTTAACTCCATTACTGTACTGTCACGAGTGGACACTTTAAAACGTGTGACTGCCAACACACTTTTCAATGACATGTCGACATGACACTTTTTAACAATGTTTTTTTTTTTCAACACAGCAACTCAGCGTATGTTCCAACAGCGTTCACATGATAAGAAAAATATTATAAAGTTTAATTAAATATTCCTGAGATCCGGTAAATAATATAAAACCTCAATTCTATATGAATTTCTATCGATAAAACCTCCTGAAACTTCTAATATATTGAAATACACAACCGGAAAAGGAAAACTGTAACGTCTTGGCTCATCGGATATGACGCCCATGCATCGTGCTCGCATATGACTGCACGATATCCACATGCAACTTGTGCGCTAAATGCACAAGTTGCCGTCTATACGTTATTTGCCCTCTGTACGTGTGTTTAAATTCAAAGGATCGGTATAACACAACTTTTCTTCATGCTGCGCTTGTACGACTGTAATAGACGCTAATTTATTGCGCTGGATGAGAATGGCTGCCATTAACTGAACTATTTAACTCAAGGTATGCGCACATCAAGGATGATAGATAGAGGCAAACGATTAGCTCTCAGTACGTGTGTATGAAGTTTTTAAAAGGACTGATGGGTTGTTTACGCGGAGTTTCTGACCGGTTGAGTAAAATTCTTTTTTTTTTTGGGCTGAGAGTTATAAATCACGAATAATTTTTTTCTTTTATTTTCACCTCGCAATTCGTATACATATTACATCTATTCAAGGAAAAACATTGCTCTTATGCTGCGTTTAGAATTATGTTTGCTATATCAGTGCAGATTTTCAACAGTCAACATTTTGTTGAAACTACCATTATTGGAAAAAGTGATTCTAGTCACCTCACATTTAAAACTCCGCTCATTAGTTTTATTATTATGAAATAAGCACTAATCAACTTGGTTGATGCTCTGTTTCAAGTTTTACACGGCATCGAGACGTTTGTTTGATGATAAAGTGTTCCGGGTTAGCTGACGACATTACAATCATGTTGTTACTGTTGCCAACATTTTCTCGGAGTTAAATTCACCAGCGATACGATTGTTTTAAGCTGAACTTAAAGGATCGGGTCTCTAGGTCTAACGCGCATATAATTTAAGAAGCGATTTTCGTTAAAACTATTCATGAGTTGAAAATATACATGAAGTCGGAATGACCAAATAGTCCATGGACTTGTAAAAATGAGGTAAAACTTTACATTTTTATGCCATTTGCCAGTTTGTGGAGAGAAATCTAGACGGCTTATAATAAGCACATATTCTTATCTAAGTGCTACTTAGTTTGTATCCATAACAGAATTTAGTTCGAATCCGAAGTGAGACCGTTCGCTATTTACAAAACTCGTTCTTATCACGAACCTGCTGTCGAAATCATGCAGTGACTAATGAGCGGAGTTTATTCGCACCTTGATTTGTTTAAACATGTAAATTTCAGCGTGGTCACCGTATGTATGTTAATTGATGATCTGGTCCTGGAGTCCGTTTTCTGGATCATCGGTTCACAATTATTCTGTGTTCTTTGAGGAAGGTTCTGTTTCGATGCACAAGCCCGGAATATCATTGAAAAATCGACAATGATTATTAATGTGGTTGAGCGGAGTTTATTCGCACCTTGATTTGTTTAAACATGTAAATTTCAGCGTGGTCACCGTATGTATGCTAATTGATGATCTGGGGACATACTTTCAAAATTCGCTAAGTGAACGTAAGTACTTACGCTTTATTTTCGTGTCTTTTATTGGTGGATTTTGCTTGAAAGGCCGTCAATGATTGGCTGATGAACTTACGGTCTCTTAACTTTTTCTGAAAGTATCTATAGGCCCTGGTCCTGGAGTCCTCTTTTGTGGATCATTGGTTCACAATTATTCTGTGTTCTTTGAGGAAGGTTCTGTTTCGATGCACAAGCCCGGAATATCATTGAAAAATCGACAATGATTATTAATGTGGTGAATTATCTGCTTTTTATGGCCCATAGGTGTTATCATCTGAGTCTATTTTTTATCAGTGAGTGCCAGTGCAAATTTCGCTAATTTATGATTTTTTTGTGAAATTTGAATTTTTAATTTCATTTATTTTCTTGCAGTTAAAAATTTAGTCTTACGCTATTTCTTTTGAACCTATTTATAGATTGCAAACAGTATTCTCGAAATTAGGATTAAGATGATGAGACACTCGTGTACTCAATCGCTGAGTCCCGTTCCTCAGAACGGGAGAAGAATTGAGATCGGTTTCGATCACTGTCATTTAGATGGCGATCAGTGGCGGCTATAAAATCACACGCGCAGGCATATCGGACATCAAATTCTACATGCCGTTGATCAAGCGATATAATGATACGCTGCAGCAGGTATACCGTGTCGGTACCGTACATATGGTCACGTTTTTTCCAGAGGGAGAATGCACATCCCACTTCACATCGTGAGAAGTTCTTTCTGCGAGTGCTGGATGCAGCTAATGGTCGATGTTTGTTCACATCTCTGCGGACGTGGTTGGTTAAACTCGAGCGGTTTCTCGTACGAAATAGCAGCAGCAATCTCAATACTTATTTAGTCGGTATTTTTCTCGAACTTGGTAGTGGTATTATTTTTATTATTATGATTGTCAAAATGATCTCAGCAGGACGATTTGTTTCAGATAATCTCTTGTGGTGGAATAGTTTCTCTCGATTTATTGACCAAACGTCGTCGTGTCATCACATCGGGGTGTGGTCACTGGTCATGTATTTAATAATAAATACTATTATCGATACCTAATTGTAACAGAATGTACAGTAAGTACCTGTCAGGTATCCATTTCCAGAATTATGTGTGCTTGAGACTGTTTTTGACATCTGCTTGGCGACCGCCAACTTCTCGATCACAGCCCGCGAACTACAAATGTTATGATAGTCACGTCTCGGGATTTTTCGTTTTCCTTTATTCTTGTATTAAATAATTTCCTGACTATCTATCAATAAATCCGGCCAATGAAAGCAAGAACTCTTCGCTCTATATATCTGCATTTCCACAATACCCATACTTGTGATGTGAATTGACAAGACTTCGTTTTTTCATTGCGGTTTCGTCGTCCATCTGTCAGTGCTTCAGTAGTATCAGTCACACGTACTGTTACAGTGAACACACCGTATAGTTCTTGCTAATTGTCCGCAGCTGGCGTTGCTCTTAATGTTTTCTTCAACAACTAAGCTGAACCGTACCTGTGTGGTTATCCATGTACCGTTAACGCGCATGAGCTGTCCATGTTTTTTGTTGCCGATGAGTGCCTTCCTCATTATGGTTCATGTGATTTTCTGTAGCCAGGAATATCGGGTACTGACCTCTTTCGGTTTCGCACAAATTTCAGTTTCTGTTAGATTTTTTTAGTAAAATTTGTTTAAATTGTACGGAAAATTTTAACACGATTAAATCGGTACATGTCTTGCAAAACTCCATAATTTTATTTGTGTGATTATTAAGTTTTTACCTTTTTATCCTACTTACTGCATCGGTAAGAGAATACCTCCTTTTCAGCGTCATTCATTCTTCATTAAAAAGAAAATAAAAAAAATAACAAATTCATGTTATTACTTATTTACCACGAATTTCTTTGTATTCGTCAGAGAATACTTGGCACGTGCTCACCTTTTACGATAATACGCAGAGATGCCCGGGCCGAAGCGGACGAGCGTTTCCGCTGGCCACTCGTGACGTCACTCGCGTTTTTCCGGTGCTTCTTGAAACTAGGGACCTGGTGACAGTTGGTGCAATACTGCTGTTGGTGACGCTTCAGATGCTTTTAACTTGTCAAATATGAAAAAAATGAGATGTGGTGTACCTAATTAATCATACTGTCATTCGTATTTCTTGATCCGTTATAAACGCTTCAAATTCTGATAGACTTACAGATGGCACTTCAGTCGTCACGCGTGATTGTTGCTATAAACCCTTTATAGGTGACATCTATGAGACTGAGATAGGATGAACTACTTTTAGTAGTGATTCGTTATGCATTGATTATGTTTTTGCACTTTCGTTTATGATAATTCAAGCGTAAAAATTGTGGGCATAAAGTGCGGTTCAATTTTTTGCTAACTTCAAAAACTAAATATGTATGCATCAACTTAGTTTTCCAAGTTTTATTTTGATCGATAGAGCATTGAACAGTTGTGACATCAACTTTCAGGCTTTCCAGATGCTCTAGTGTGATATAAATATCTAGATTGCATAACTCTTATTATAAGCAATCCATTCGTTCCTGAACTACTATCTTAACAAAAATAACTTCATTAGGTATTGTTTTGCATAAAAACATCATTTTCCTACAAAATGTAATCCGGTGTACCTTATATTTGGCTGTAATTTCTAATTTTGCTGTCGATGGGCTAGAAAATTACCTCGATATTTTGAAGAAAAGTCGTTAGTTTCTAGACTTTTGGACTGGTCTCAGGACTGTACTACGCCTATACGTTAACTTAACAAGCTCGTTTGGAAGCATTTGCATCTAATCTCGTCTTAATTGCCAAGTGAGTATTTGTTAATTTGTTACACTTGCAATGCGTTCCTATTTGTGAATAACTAATAAAAGTGATTATTTTTGTATCGCTCATAGTTGTGCCTGTTTCAAATGCACATAAACTAAAAAAAGTGCAAATTAGAGAAGATCAGCATGGCCCCTGCGTAATGATAACTCGCAAAATCGCGATTCGTTACGCATTTTTAGAGCATTCTATCATTTATGGAAAAAATTCACTATTGTGCCCGCCATGTCCGTCTGTCCATCCGTCCGTCCGTCTGTCTGTCCGTCTGTGACTTCACGTTTTCGTCGATGACAAAATGCGCTCTGTCACTCACTGCAGTGAGTACTGAGTTATATTTTTTCCGTCTCGGTCTGGACGAGCGGTTAATATTGCCAAGATTAGAGCAACGAGCTCCAGGTTCCAGCCCGCAGGTTGTTGCGAAAATTTTGGTCGAAATCGGCAGGTGGCTCAGTGGTTAAAAATCGGCCGAAGGCCAGAATGGCTTAATTAGTAGTGCATCATATTTTATTAAATTACATTAGATAAAGAAATTAGACGCAATTCGTTGCACCAAGCAACTTCGACGCGTGCGGATGCATAACTTCATAATTTCAATTTATATGTTTATATGCACCTGCTCCATGTATCCTCCGTGAAATTTATGCATTTCAACGTGTAACCAACTTGTCAAATAACATGTTTAAACGTGTAGCCAACGTGTAAAATAACACGCTTCAACGTGTAGCCAACGTGTAAAATAACACGCTTCAACGTGTAGCCAACGTGTAAAATAACATGTTTCAGCGTGTAACCAACGTGTAAAATAACACGTTTCAACGTGTAGCCTACGCGTAAAATAACATTTTTGAACGTGTAACCAACGTGTAAAAAACTTGTTTTAACAGTGGCGATGTTGTGGAGGGTTGGGGCGTGGTTGGTGGGTGGGGGCGGAGGCGCGCTGCTGGTGGCTGGCGCCACGCAGGCCGCTGTGGGTGCCTACTGCCTCGCCACGACGCCTCTCTTCAGGACCGCCTCCAACATCTGGACCGGATGTCTTGTGAGTCCCAAGAATATATGGTAGAGATTGAATTATAAATAAATAAATAAATGGTAGACATTGAATTCTTATTTCAAAAGCTGTCAGAAATGGTTCTTGCAAATAGTTCTTGCAAATCGAAATAGTAAACTCTAATAGTCTCCTAAACATCACGGGATGTCTTGTGAGTCCCCAGATTCTATGGTAGAGATTGAATTATAAATAAATAAATAAATGGTAGAGATTGAATTCTTATTTCAAAAGCTGTCAGATAGTTTTCGCAAATGTTCTACTTAACTGTATGACAGATTTTCCTCTAAAGAGGTGTGTTGGGAGAAACACAAGTCTTTGTGCAAGTGAACCACAAAGTGAAAAGTGTAGTTGTTGAGGGTAGATTCCTGATGTGTAAATAGAACCTAATCGCTTGGGAAGAATATGAGACAAAGAAAAAACTAGTAACATTAAATAATTCAGTGTTTAGCCTAATTATTTACACTATTATAGTATCTTTATCTTCCAAATTTCATAATATATTTTAATGTCAAGTAACGATGTTATTTGCAGGGGATGCTGGCCGCGCTTCTGCTGCTCTATTGCTCGTGGCAGCGACAGACCAACAGGAAAGCTCGACTCATTCTTACAGTCGCCCTTATAGTCCTCACGGTCAATGTCATCAACATGGTCATTGTGCAGGTAACGAAACACTGTGATATATGCTATTAACATGGTTACTGAAAATGTAATGATTATTAATGATCATGATCAATGTCATCAACATGGTCATTGTGCAGGTAATGAAACTTGATGATATATGCTATTAATATGGTTACTGAAAAGGTAATGATTTTTAATGATCATGATCAATGTCATTAACACGTGTAGTTATTGAGCAAATAACGGTAAGTTATGATGAGTAGGCGTCCGCCACTGGAGAGATATATTTTCAGCTAATTCCTCATTATATTTTTTAATTGAATGCAAGAAAATCGTGCTGCGACGGTGTTAAAAACCTTTGACGCGTTGCTAAAAAGTTTTTTTTCTTCAATTTCCCGAAAGTTACAAAAATATGCTGAGATTCATAAATTAATAAATCCCAAGCGTCGAATATGCAACCAAGCATTTTGAAATCAATTTTTAAACGGAAATTTTATCGTAGTAACGCTTTTAGTTCTGATCATCGTAAAATGTTTAATTGATAAATTTTTATGTTCTGTGGATCGTTTATTCTTTACGCAGGTTTTAATCTGTTCCGTGTTATTTTAGTTTACTCATTTGATTGTGCATGTGTTATTTAAATTTTTTAACTGACAATGGAGCTGGTCTACGAAACATTTTCACGAAGATATAATAAAGTTACTTGGCAATTTCTCTGATCTCAAATTGTTGGTGAAGTTACGTCTAAGCAATATTATTGTTTAAAAACTTGAATACAATTGAATTGCCCTGCGACTGTTTCTATAACATTTTTTCAGGTCGCTGAGATTGGTTTATTTCTGTAGCTTAAATACAATTGAATTGCACTACGACTGTTTCTATATTATTTTCAGGTTTCTGAGACGGGTTTATTTCTGTATTATTTCTTCAACTTAAATACAATTAAATTGCCCTGTGACTGTTTCTATAACATTTTTTTTTCAGGTCGCTGAGACGGGTTTCTTTCTATCAGAAGAAGACAGAGTCTACATCGTAGCCATGGCACTGGAGCCGCAGCTCAAACTGGGTGAGCGAGAGCAGCTCTCATAACATAACATAGTGATGTCGGCGCTGAAGCGTAGGCTTGATCTGGCCTGTCGCCACATCCTTTCCTTTTCCTTTTCGTGCCTTGTTCACAGAAGATCTAAAATCGTGTCATTTGACCGTATCTTTTCATGACTGACGATAGTTTGAAGTAGCTACTAGACTTCCACCGGGTTCGATAAGGAGCTAGGCATTTCAAATCTGAACATATATTTTTCCATAGCTTTATCTAGTCTGTTCTTGAACGCGTTCATGAACATCACATTCATGACTTGAATGTGATCATAAATCTAAATTACTTGTAATGTTTATATATGTGATAAGTGAAAATGTCACAATCACTTTCTCTGTAAAGTATGTTTTCGTTATTTCTTGCTAACTTTTGCAGATTGAGCTTTTAATTTCCATGCAAACTTGTAAACAGACTTGAATTTTATTGCTTTTCGATGAGAGACAATGACCGATGTTATAATTATTTCTCTTTTCAACCTCTAAGTAATCATTTCGATACACATTTTACCCCTACTTTGTATAATGCTGCTAAATAACTCTTCTCCTCCTAAAATAATAACTCCTAAATCAATTGCCTGCCTGAATTTTAGAGCTTTAATTATTAGCACAATTTATTACTCATACAATAATTTAACTTTCAGCTGTGTGGCTGAGCACGGGAGCCACATGTGTGGCGTTGGTGGCAAGCTTCATTGTAGCTCAAGTTGTGTTTTGTTTGAGCATCAGAAGTCCTGTTCACCTAAAGGGCCATTTTTCACTCGCATCCCGGTACAACATAAGCTCCTTCAACTCGGCTCCTAAGGATAACTTCTCTGAAGAACTTTCTCAGTCGCGCGAAGACGATGAAACCGTCCCTAGAAATCGACAGGTAGTTCTGCCGAGGCTAGGACTTGACGGAAAATCGAGGTTCTTTCCACCAAGTCGCCTACGAGCTACTCAAGACTACAACTCTTCGTCAATGCTTTCGCCTGTAGGGAGAGACAGGCTTCTGTCGTCTGCAAATTCATCTCATCCTGTTGTTGATGCATGCGATGATGTTTCTAGAAGCAGTAATGTTTTGATGCATGACTCTGTTCCTCAAACTGATATCTCTAAACCTCTAACTAACTCGCACTTATGTTGTGCACGGAACACACACATTTCTCATCCCCATTTCACCGGACCTGTTGACCATAGCACTGCACAAAATGAGCGATCGCGCATTGGTAGCAATAGTAGCACCATATCGTCTTTTCTTCGTTATGGTGACTCGCACTGCAATCACTTGGACGATAAGCAGGATGTTCATGTTAATAATGATTATATTTTACCCGAATTAGGCAATTCCGCTGGCTATGTTTCAGATACAAATAATTTGGTCGCTCAAGTCGACGGCAGGACCATTCCTGTCAACAATTTGAACGAAATTCGCAGGCTGTCTGAGGACATATACGATCTACCATATTTTGGCCCTTACTTAACAGAGGGAGAAACAAACAACAAAAGGCAACCTGAAAAATCGGCTTTTGAAATTAATCAGCTGAACCAATGCAGAACTGCTGAGAAAGACCCTAACCTTGTCACTATTAACTCGCACAAACTTGAAAGTGCGTATGACGGTGACGAGGACGACGTTTTCGACTCTGAAAGAGCCAAGCGTTCCAGGGAATTGTTGAAGTTTGATGAAGAAGTTGTTTTCCGTGACAAGAGCCAACGAGCGTACAATACCATAGCTGGTCGAGAAGACGGATATAGACGCAAGAGCTTGAAAGAAAAATTTTCGCTTAAAATGAGAAGAAAGTCTAACTCTAGCAAACGACGCAAAACAGCTGCGAAGGAAGATTCCATCAATGGAGAGTTTAGCACCGGTGCCATCAAACGAAGCACCCTTGACAGAAGAACTATATCTCGACTGCCTAACAATGAAGTACTAAGTTTTTACAATGTCCCCAAAATCAGTTATCCAAGTTATCGACCAAGAGGGATAATGCCAGAAGAGAGCGTTCCTTACTTCTTACGTAACCACCCAGACTCGTGGAATTTCATCTTGCCTGATGAATCAGACAGAGAAAGAGAGTCTACAAACGACGAACTCTCCGAGTCGCAGGGAGAATACATTGTTGCTAGCAATGACGAGCTTGTTGATGATTTCTATGCTCCTCACCTAATGAGTAGATATTCAACTTTCAGACCAAACAGATCTTCAAAGCCTGATCCTCGTTCCTCGGTAGTTTACTCGAAGCAGATTGATATTCCTCAACATGAGGGGATGGAACTGATCTTAAAAACCCCCTCTTTCCGCTCAAACACGATGCGGCCCTCAACTAGAAAGTCCTACATTGAATGTGTGGAGAGTCCTTCGTTTGAAACCATAACGGGAAATCAACAAAAAAGTTCTTACTACGCCATGTCGCTAGGAAGAAATCGGCTTGGTGCTAGACTGGACAGTGTTGGCGGTGTGTCACGTGTTTCTTCGTTTCGTCAAGATGATGATGCCTTTGAATCAGAGGAGGTTGAGACGCCACGATCTGCCGTTGAAAGTGAGACTCCAGGTGACGGCAAAAGAAGCTCTCTTGTGAAAGACTACGTCGAGTATCTCGAATCTGCGCGATTTTGCCCCGCTTTGAATATGCCTGATGGCCACTCTACAAACATTATTTATGGTAATTCATGCAAAAAATCAATGTCCAAATCTCCAGTTCAATCAATCCCTGAAGTTAGTGAGGAACTTCAATCGACTCAACCGAGCAACGAATACTCTATCGGAGATGGAAATGGCACACCTCCTTGCGTAAATTTCTCCGAACTATTCAACATTGATCAAAAAAACTTAACAAGCCGTGTCAATCTTTCATCTAAATTGAAAACACGGGAATCGTCTGATAATATTCAGGGTGATGATACTATTTATTTGCTATCTAGTGACAGTGGCGATGTTAACTCCACTCCGCATCATCATGAGTCGTTCTATAATGTCAAACTTGCCCAAGTTCATGGCAATGGGTCAACAGCTCGCGAGACTGAGTTTTCTGGCCCCAACACCAATCCTCAACAACGCTCGTCCGCCACTCAAGATTTAAAAATGAACGCATGTCCCAGTGACGGCTATGTTTCAGATGGGTCTATGAGTGTTGCTTGTTCTGCTGCCAGTGAAGGTAGGGCTTCGAGAAGCGGCTGGAAATCGTCGAGGTCATCCTTGGCAATTCGCCAAACTTTGCCGCCCCCGCCCCCGCCACCGTTCTATGAAAACCAATAGTCCAAATATTGCATTAAAATGTGCTTCTTCTATTCATTTATTCAATGTTGATTAGTTACTTGTCATATTATTCTAAAGAAAGACTTTTTCTGGTATGGAAGATTTCGGAGACATTAATATTTTATTCATTTGCAAAATTTTATGTTCTTATGCGTACTGGAGCAAAATCTTCCAAAACATTCATGCCCCGCTTAACAATTATTCGTTCTTCATCTTTTTAAGTCGACCTTACTTGTTTTACCTTGAATACTCGACCTGAGGGTGTTTTCACGGTTCTTTCTTAATGCCGCATGCCATCGTCTACCTAGACTCTGGGACTTTCTGGTCGAACTTCGGAAGAAGATAATGGTTAGTGACTGCAACAATAGTTTAGATTACCCTGAAGTTTGTTAATACTATTTCGCTGACACTGAATTACTCAGTTGTTGTTACGTGCGTAATTCTCTTGTAATCCTATTGACTATTGAGAATATTTTCTGTTAAAATATTCTTTCATGACAGTTGTTGGATTGATCATAAAGCCAAATTTTTTGCTGAGGTAGTAATCAGTTATTTGTTACAGGACTTCGACACCTTGACTACCCTCGAGAACAGCCTACCCAGCACCTTGAATCCCAAGCAGCCTGCGGCATGGGTGTTTTCTACTGATGATGATTCGTCCCTCTATCCCATGGGCTTAGAGCATCCGTTCCCCGGTCGAAAGCCTCCAGTTCGACATTCTTCCTTCGCAATGCCTCGTTATGCGAAAGTTCACCAACGACCCAAACGATCTCAGAGTTTTGCACAGCAAAGAGACTTGAATATTGAAAACATTTTAAATGGTAACTACAGAAAATCTTATCCCGTTGCCATGCCTGCGCTTCCCAGGCCTAAGCTCATCATTCCATCCATCGGCCAGTATTCCAAACCATCAAAACCAGTTGCAAGATCAAACTCATTGCAAACAACTAAATCAGAAATGACGAGAAACGAGTTCACATTGAGTCATAAGTTCCAAGGATGTTCACTTGATGAACTGGATAGCTCTTCGGTGCTGGAAGTCGGCAGTCTTGCAAGCGGCAAGTCTTCCGAGCCCAGTCTTGTGGATGCCCTCGTTGATCTGCCTAGTAAATGCGTCCATGCCTGTCAGCAGTTGTCAAGGCCTGTGTCACGTGACAATAACGAGTCGAGCGAAGCTGAAAGTCGCGTCAAAATGTACAGTGTGTATAGCTTTTCGTCTCCTACACTAAATTCGATGGAGACTTTGGAGAAGATGTCTATATCATCCTCGTCCTCAGATTCTCCAAAAGCCAACATTCCGGAGCCTGATTACGCTAAACCTCGATCCTTGTATTACAATCAAAGTCTGATTAATTACACAATTCATTCTCCGAGGTTTGAATATCAAGTGAGTGACCGAAGCGAATATTCATCTGCTAACAATTCATTTGTTCCTAACGTGGGACAGGGTATCAGTACACAAGAATCCCGTTCCTTCTTGCCTCGACTGACGTCAGTTAGAACAGAATCCAACGGTAACTCAGCCATTGGAGTTAATGCGGAAAACTTTTACGCAATGAACGATAAAAATTACAAATATCACGAAGAACCGAACGAGCTTGAAGCAAATACTTATGCAAGCCCAAGACAAGAAATAACTGACAACTACAATGGTTTCAAATACCATAAAGAAAAATCTACTCCCAAGTTCACGACCCCTAGTAGATACCATGATATTCGAGTAACACATTTCGATTCCACTCCTTTACCGGTGATAGAAGAAAATGACAAATTATCTACCGATGAGAGTTCTTCTCAAACAGACCCGAAAGATAACTACGAGCCTGCGAGACCTGGAGTCGTGACACCTGTACCCCTTATCAAACCCTCTGTTCCAACGACACCCAAACCAAAGACCATTACCATCACAAAAAATGGGATAACGAAACCTCCAAGATATTCCGTTTTACAGAAGAAAATAATGAATCAAAAATTGAACAAGAATGAAGAGCCTGAAACTGAGAGTAAAGTGTTAAATACAGCAAGAACTTACGGGAAAAACTATTCAACGGACGGTAGATCATTCAATTCTTCTGGAACAAATTATGATCGAGAATTGCAAGATACAAACAAGAGGTCCAGAAGCCATTATGAAGTGGCTCACCAGGAGGCTATTGGTGAGTCTGACCAGTTACTGGGAAGAATTCCAAGCGGAGAAATCAGGAGAAATAAAATAGTTCTACGAGTCCCATCTTTTAGGACCGCTGGATGCCAAACTGAAACTTACAAACCCATTCGCAGACGAGCTTCGTGTGCCCAAACGAATTTAAGCGTGGCTCCGAAGAACAAAAGTTATGCTTCTTCCGGGTACATGACTATCGGTGTTGGCGCGGGCCGTCTCGTTAACTCCGCCAATCGCTCTGCATCGCAGCCTCAGCTAAGCTCATCATCGTCTTCGGGATATTCATCCCCTGAAGTGAGCAGCAAGGAACCGTCACCTCACCACTCTGGTCCCCCATCACCATCGGAAAAAACATCTCTCAAAACCGAGAAACCAAGACGAAGCAAATCTAACGTAACTGTTATTGAAATTAACAAGTCTGAGAATACTACTCTAATATCAACTGTGGCCGCTGCTCCTCCTAGACCTCCGAAACCCGTTCGCTTACGTCATTCTGCTGCTGCCGATTTTTCCTGCCAGAATTTTATCTTACCAATGCAAAAAAGAGAGACATACAGGACTCCTGTAAACGAGATGTTCGGATTTTCAGCATTTTCTGATAATATTTTCTCTCTCACTGAAGCCGTGAACCCCATTATAATACAACCTCCTCGGCATCTCCGGACTTTGAACTCCAGACCTCAAGCATTAAACCGGTCTAGCAGCGTCGGAGTGGGCACTCCTAGGATTATAGACGTTCATCCCAAACGCTTGGCAGATAACGATGAACCTGTAAGTCGAGCTGAGGTTTTCGCTGAAGAAGGACGCACTTCGGTCTTGCCAAGAGACAGGGGTCTGCTGGCTGGACAATTTAACCAACGCCTTCGCAGCAGATCCCCATCCGAGAGCTCCTCTGAAGGCCCCAGTAGCAATCGATGGACTGACGACCTGGACTGGGAGATTGGCACCCGCTGGAGGGAAGAGCGGGAGAAGGAACTTGTCAGCAAATGGTCTAACGACACTGGCGGCCGTGCGACGGCTGCGTATCTTGCCTCTCTGGAACTTCTTGCTTCACATTATAGGCACCAAGCGCTGTTAAACGCTAAGGTAAAACTTGTTATGTTTGATTTAAATGGAAGCGCGTCTTGGAATTTTTTTTTTTATAAAATGAGAGTGAAGTTCGAATGTCAGGAAATTGTTTCCTTTTGAAGGAGGTTAGATAGAATAAATACAAAACGGATATTCCACAATATTCCAACCTTTCATAGAAATTCTTCAATTTGCGAACATAAAAATATGACGCAAATATAATTTACCGTCAACGCATTCAATAGAGTGACCGTAACCGGAACCTTTTCTCTTCCAGCAACTTCAAAAACAAAAAGAGCTGTTGGCAAGACAGCAGCGCCAACAACAACAACAAGATGAAGAGAGCAATGAGAGTAAGTCATCCATGTCGGAGGAGGTATGCTCATCTCCCCGAGAAGGGGCGCCGTGGCGAGCCACAATCGAGCAGTTGAGGGGAAGTTCTTTATCAGATTCGAGGACGACCTGGCGATCCTAGCAAGCATAACTCAACAGGTTTGTATTTTAATGGACGCCAGGGTTTTTATAACACAACTGCATAGACTATTTTGCATTCTTCCCGTTTTGTGAAAAGATTTTCAACTTGCGTTGTTGCAGTAAATACATTAGATATTTCACAAATAAACAGTAGATATACAGTAGATAAAATGATTCAGCCTAATATCTGAAAACCAAGATTCTTCCATGACATGCTTTTATTATGCATGAAATGCTATTTTATTATGAAAATTATTCCAAACGGTGGGTTTTTATCTGCTCCATTTTGCTCAATGTAAGAAAAGATCAAAATACAATTATATTGTCTTTTTATACATGTTGAATATCTGGTTGTTTCTGGTAAAGTGATGTAAATAAATAGTTGTCTCTTGAAAAGGCCTTCTGAGTTGACGAGTTGGCCGGGTTCAGCTTTTCTACCTACATAGTTTCGTATATTTTTTCTATCTAGTGATAATGAATATTGATAGATTCAATTTTGATCAGAGACATTTATATTGCTGAATATTGGATAGGATATTACTATAGAAATTCATAGAAGAGTTATCAAAAAAGTTTATATTCTCGTCTCGGGGATTCAACATCACCCAAGTCTGTCAAAACTTGTCAACCGTTGAGCTTCTCACGCCCTGTACGTAGCCTGGATTTTGTATAGTCTTGTACCTGAATGTTTCAAACTTCATTCCAAAGACAATGTTAATTAACACTGAGTGCAACTGAGGGTTGTATTTCAGCTATAGCTTCTCGCCGAGGTTTGTACCTACTACCAAAGAGACAAATTTAAATTAACTGTGCCTGCAAATTTTGTGTTGAAGGAGATGGTCTCCATGGAATAGGAACTTTTATGATGCCTTTAAGTTCGATATGAAATAGTTTTTATACCCTTGCATGTTTTTATTTAGGTTTAAATGTTCAAGAGATGTTTTTAGAAGCGTTTTTTAAATGTTGCTCGAGAGCATCCAATGAACTCAGTTACATGAAGCAGAATTTTATAAAAAAAAAGAATAGCACACGTTAATTTCCGCAATATTGCCTTTCAAATATATAATCACGTTGTAAATTATTTGTGTATGTTCTAAAGAAATCTTAGACTGTGCGTCATTTATTTTTAACCATCTATGAATTAATTTTGCGCTCTGGTCAACAATATTTCAAAGGAGCCGAAATCTTCATATATATGAACAGTATTACGCGGTATGAAAATTCTTTGGAAAAACGCTACACGCTCTTTCTTTTATTTTTATTTCTGTTCGAATTACTTGTTCTCTGCTTTCTGATGAAGCAGGAGTATTCCTAATTAACAGTTGCCTGTATGAGAATCATCGATCAATTTGACTCTTATACCCAGCACTAAAAAAAATTGCAGGAGCAGTAAATAAAACTGTGTTCAATGGGCAGATCTCTTCTAGTTTACATAAATGGGACCATCAGCGTTAGCAACAATCACGACCAACTTAAACAATAACAGAATTGGATGAAATGCTAGAAAAACGCACAATAACAGTTTGGACAACACAAGACGGCCTCGCAGGAAGGAAATTCGGGTCTCTCCACTTCATCTTGAAGAAATAATAACTCGATATAAATAATTAATAGTCAAAGTAAATAATTACAAAGATTGCTATTGATCACAGTGGCGTCACCTTTTTTCATCACGGTCCAGATGCTGTAATTCTGTAATAACATGACAGTCTTGTAACGTTATTCACGTTATTCCAGCCAAGTTCCTTCTCTAAGATCACGATTTAAAGCTCTGGATGAAATTCTAAAGGTTCTTCTGATAATTCAACTATGAATAAAGACCAATAGCTGTAACACAATGAACGAACCTCGAAAAGCAATTATAGAAATAACCCGATGCTTAACGAAGATTCACGTCAAAAATAATAAATCTCAATAAAACGTTTCTTTCTAATCATAACAAACAATTTACATTGAACATTATGCATGCCACAAGCAAATGATACAATATTGAATGAAAAATCATAGTCACTTCGAATTAGTATGCTCCATAGACCGAACAGGACGAACAAATAAACATGTTCCATAACTCATATTAAGATGTGACTAATAACAGACACGAAGATGGGCTTGTAATGATTGGTTTGTTGCACTTTATGGTCACTCCTAAGAAAAAGTCTGTTAAAACAAAAAGTAAATCAGCATTTCCCACGTGTGCTGAACACGGGGCCGAGTAGAGATGCTAATACCATGAATTATTTTCCATAATGTGAATTATTTCCATAATGCGGACGACGCTGCATGCCGCGAACATGAGCTTGACACCATAACACAGGCTAGCATAAACTCACCCTCGACACAGTTCAAGGATAACCTTAGACGATTCTACAGTGAACAGTAGAAATTGTTCTTTTTATTATATTATATTCTTGAGCGATTATAATTAGAAAACTCAAAATACAAACTATTTGCAAAATAACGATCAACTAAATTCAAAATACAACCTAAATCTTTATGTACAGCCATAACCTGTGGTATATGTTGCCACATATACACATAATATATATATGTATATATATATATAACATTTATAAAGATATATATAGTCTATGCAAAAACAGAATAACTAATATTCGCTAGTGAAAGAAGATCGATTGCAATGAAACAAAAAGTGTGTCCAACATCAAAAGGACTTTCGTTCTTACGTCATTCCCCATCCTTCGTTTGCAGCAACGAATTACAAGTTCAAGTGATAAAAGACGTCAAAAAATGACGCAGTCCGTTTCAAAAATTCGAAGTCTCTGTAGCATTTACTATCACTTCTAACTCGGCTAAATTCTAAACTAATATCAATACTCATTTGATGAAACATCATTGGCATTCTTAGCATTAGGTTCAAGTGCTTTACCACGGATCACGCTTACCACTTCTTCATGTACCAGCGATACTAAACAATAAAAAATATAACTCAAACATTCCATTTCAAGCATTTAATGAACACTTTCTTCTTTTTGCAACAAGCTTATTGTTCAATTGAACTCATAGTTCATTACATTATAAATGAACCCACAGTACGTTGGTTTAAAATAAATACGAATGAATTGAAATATTGCAGCCAAACTATGCTACTAAAAAATCTATTGTAATAAGTAATTGCACTGCATGGTTAAACTCGTAAAATTATTGATAGACCAAAAAGAACCAACAGATCAACACCAAATGCTGTATTCGCTCGAAATTCATAGAACAGCAGCGAATCAAAAAAATTTCTACAAAGAGCCTTGGAACTAAGAAGAATTTGCAATTTTCAGGGGAAACTCAAGAAAAATGAAAGCCTCATATAATGCATACAGTGAAATAATCATAGAAACATTAGGTAGAATGTGAAGCCGCTACTCCGGCACGTATCTTAGTTACGACCACAACGTAGGATTATCTCGGCAGCAGCAGCACCAAGTCGCTGTCACGTGAGAACGATTGTCGAACAAGGAAGGTATTAGACGACGTAACCCGGGTTCGTGTACTGGGAAATGTTACAGCAATCCCCATCATCTGGTCACCATCACAGATCCTCAGATGCAACTAAGATTGCTGACTAATAGGCACCAAATACTAACTCGCTAAGACTGGTCTCTTATACACATCTAGATGTGTATAAGAGACAGGTGTTGGCGGTGTGTCACGTGTTTCTTCGTTTCGTCAAGATGATGATGCCTTTGAATCAGAGGAGGTTGAGACGCCACGATCTGCCGTTGAAAGTGAGACTCCAGGTGACGGCAAAAGAAGCTCTCTTGTGAAAGACTACGTCGAGTATCTCGAATCTGCGCGATTTTGCCCCGCTTTGAATATGCCTGATGGCCACTCTACAAACATTATTTATGGTAATTCATGCAAAAAATCAATGTCCAAATCTCCAGTTCAATCAATCCCTGAAGTTAGTGAGGAACTTCAATCGACTCAACCGAGCAACGAATACTCTATCGGAGATGGAAATGGCACACCTCCTTGCGTAAATTTCTCCGAACTATTCAACATTGATCAAAAAAACTTAACAAGCCGTGTCAATCTTTCATCTAAATTGAAAACACGGGAATCGTCTGATAATATTCAGGGTGATGATACTATTTATTTGCTATCTAGTGACAGTGGCGATGTTAACTCCACTCCGCATCATCATGAGTCGTTCTCTTATACACATCTAGATGTGTATAAGAGACAGGTATTATCTCTCAGTCTCGGGCATAACAACCCTTAGAGGGCTAACTTCCCTTAGTTTTAGAACCACTGATCTCGAGCAACAGCTGTCTCTTATACACATCTAGATGTGTATAAGAGACAGGTGTAGTGGTATCCCGTCCACTGTGGTGGTGAGGGTCTAAGTCTTCATGATGTTTGAGGACTGGAGAGTGTAGCGGTATCCCGTCCAGTGCGGTGGTGAGGGTCTAAGTCTTCATGATGTTTGAGGACTGGAGGGAGTAGCGGCATCCCGTCCACTGTGGTGGTGAGAGTCTAACTAAGTCTTCATGATGTGGTGTTCGAGGGCAGCCTCCGCTAGAGTCTGCAGACCCATACTGGACAGCACACCGGGATCCACAACAGAAGCTGCAAGACAAGTAAACGTTAGCTTATAATAAACTAAAATTTTAGCTAAGCCCGAACAAATGGACTCTGGGATTCGATGCCTTATGCTGCCTACGGGAATGTGCAAAGCACTAGACCAAAATTAGATGCAACTGACGTTTGTCCACAATATAGGAAGCCGACACCAGCATCTTGACCCGGGAAAAGTAGCAAGCTCATATATGAAAATATTCTTGCCATGAAAATTATCTTTCAGATGAATAATGTTGATGCTTTGTCTGAATTTTTTTTCATTAATATGTTCATATTAAGACCCATTTTTAATGCAGATGAGCACAGTATTCGATTATAGATATTATGGTGATATTAGAAACTATCCCCGATCACTGAGCTTATTAGTGTAAAAGAGCACCATATATTGATTCAACGATAGGTGTTGGCATAAACTCTTGATTTATTTCAAGGTGAAATGACTTACCCTTGAGATTAGTGTTAGATGAGAGCGGATCATGACGAGTGATGGACTGTTTACGCGCTTTACGTCTTTGTGAGCCAGTGAGAGGAGTGTGATCGCAGTCATCACAACATTCACTGCTACTACTGCTACTGCTATTATTATTGTTCAGCGACGAATTGCTGCCACTGTTTGTACTACTCGTACTGGTCTGTACGCTACAACTCCATACTGCGGTGCTCGCCTCGCTACCTGGAACATTTTTCACTGGATTTTTAGCGTCGCTAGTATTGTATTTATAACGACTTGCTTCGGAAACGTGATTGCTATGGTTGACATGGTTGTGAGTATCGGAGCTAGTGGATGTGTTGTGTGGACCGGGAGTGTTGTGATGAACGGATGTGTTGTGAAGACCTGATGTGTTGTGAAGACCTAATGTGTTGTGATGACCTGATGTGTTGTGATGACCTGATGTGTTGTGATGACCTGATGTGTTGTGATGACCTGATGTGTTGTGTGGTCCGGATGCGTTGTGAAGACCGGAAGTTTTGTGTGGTCCGGATGGGTTGTGTGGACTGGAAGGGTGGCGGTAGTGAACGTTTGTTAAGCGAGGCGGATGAAGAGCGCGCTCAGGTGCCGCGTGAGAGGACGACTGTTGATCCATTCGGCTACCATAGGCGCCTTTTGATGAGAAATGTGATGTTCCTGCAAGAAATAAAACTGGTTTAAAGACAATTTTTGAACATAATTACTTATCTAGAATTATCAATCTTAAATGCGGGTACAATTTTTAATCACATTTTGTCATCTAGAAATGAGCGAATGCTATTATTTTGTAGTTTCTATTCTCCAAGAAAGAATAAGTTCAGAGTTCAGCAAACAAAGTCATCATTAAAATCTTGAAAAAAGTATTCAAACTAACAAAAGTTTCTCCATACAAACCATGTGACAACGTGAAACAAACAGGGAAGTAACATAATAATGATCTGTATAACATTAAAATGTAATGTTTCTAAATACAAACCATGTGACAACGTGAAACAAACTAAAAAGTAACATAACAATGATCTGTATAGCATTTAAATATAATGGTTCTCAAAACAAACCATGTGACAACGTCGTCACATTATTATCGGTATGTGACAACATAATAATGATCTGTATAGCATTTAAATACAATGGTTCTCAAAACAAACCATGTGACAACGTCGTCACATTATTATCGGTATGTGACAACATAATAATGATCTGTATAGCCTTTAAATGTAACGTATCTCAATACACACCATCGACTCTTGCAGCAGGACGACCAGTTTCCTCCCTGAGGGGCGAGTCTCTGATGCCGCCGTCAGGAGCCCTGGAGTTCGATGGTCCCGACGCCGCGCCGTTGTGGGGGGCGAGCGACGCGCCGCTTGAGGAAGAAGACGAAGTTTTTTTCTTGTGTTCCTTCTTGCGACGAGTGAAGTCGTCGAGGCTCAGGTATGGTAGGGCTTCTATTTTCGCCTCCAAGTCAAAATTGCTGCTCAGAATAATAAAAGAAACAGAAGGTGAAGTCTTCAACGAACTCACGGCAAGTAGCGAAAAATTAGCATGACATAAAAATGAACTAGTCTCGCTTTGGGAACATAAATTATTTATTTATTTTTCAGATATATTAATGAGCTTTTTATGATTTTTAAATTTTACGAATCAAAATGCGAACGAAATAAATTCAAAGATGCATTTCGATGTCAACTTGTCTTGACATAAAATGTCTTGCCAAATTCCAGCACAAATAAAAAAATGCATACAACCTCCAGTATTCAGAGTTACAAAAATAAAAAAATCTGAGAAGTTAAACAGAATATACAAGATTATAAAAAACGTAAGACTACTAAGAAAACTCTTTAACAGCAGAACAACACAGAAAACTACATAAACACGCAGAAAAGCGAACGACTGTTATTAAATGATATAAATTTTGCAAAAGAAATTGTGTTCTTAGAAATAAATTTATCTCGCAACTACCAGACTAAGAGCTCGTACACAAATGAATATGAACAAGCAATGTTATCAAGCACGTTCAAACGCAACGAAAGTGCTCAACAATTTGTAAAGAGGAATGCAATCAAAAAGTAAGTGAAAAATTTACAAGCAATAAACGACGTGTAAAGAAAACTACGGTATTTAGAAGACGTGAAATGAATGCCAAAAAAAATACCTAATCTAAATTGATACGACTAAAGACAACGAAAGACAAAATGCTCACTAGAGTGCAGCGCAACAAAAAACACTCATCGTCAATAAATGCAACAATAAATAAATACACGAGATGGGAAAAGCGAGGTGAAACACCACGTTCCTGCTGGCAGGTGGCAACTAAGGCTCGAAAAAAAAAAAATTCTTGAACGCAAATGATCGAGAGCAGTGGTTCTTTGACTTGTTTACCGTTTCATCCAATTTACCATTTCATAATGAGACAGTTACGCTTTGCATAAAATGTTGTAGCATTTAAATATACATGGTTAAATCACGCGCCTCTCCATCACCCCCGGCAAAATTACCCTCAGGTATTGATTTTCCACTCCGTTTCAAGCAAATTTACCTCCGACAAAATTAGCCTCAGGGGTTAAACTCCTCTCAATTTTGGACAAAACTAGCTCGGGTAAAGTAACCCTTGGAAAAATTACCCCAAGAGGGCAAGCTCCCTTCAGCATGGGGCAAATTTACCATCGGCAAAATTACTTTCAATGAGTATTATCTCTCAGTCTCGGGCATAACAACCCTTAGAGGGCTAACTTCCCTTAGTTTTAGAACCACTGATCTCGAGCAACAGGACGCAAGGCTCATAAGCTCTGAGGCAAGACGCACTCTGGCTGCTGTTGCTTTGTGGTTGCCGCGGCAGACGCGGAACATTTGCGATATTTGCCACCAGAGGGCGGGGCAGGCGGCGGCGGCGGGAGATGATGGGAGTTAGCGGTAGAGTTGACGATATTCCTGGAGCTTGCATTGCTAGTTTCGATAGTAAAGGACGGACTGGAAAGTGGAACGTGGACGCCCGTAGCATCAGATCTGCGGGCTCCGCTTCCAGAGACTCCACTGTGTAACGTGTGTAATTTAATCAGTTGAGAGAAAGGAAGTATGGAGGACAATGAATTCAGAGAGGATATCAAGACCCAAGAATGGAAAGCCAATACTTTCAGCTAGTTGAACAGGAACGAAGTAGAAAAATAAGTATCTTGTTTTGGTAATAAGTGAATTCTCAATTAATCGGAGCCAGAGAAATGTACAAGTTCATTATAAGTGAGTGATGAAAAATCAGTTTGAAGTCTCGTTAAGAAGTCATACCAACTAGTTTCGTAATCACTGTTCAAAAAAGGATGGAGTTTTAAAAAGGATGGAAACTGCGATGCTTACAACTTTTCCCTTTTAGTATCTGTCACATACCTCTTCAAAATGCGTTTTGTGTGAACTTTTACATTATTTACAATACAACGGATATGGGAGTGAGTGAGTCAGGAAAATTGTATGAAATTGTAACGCACCTCAAGTATAGTACCTATATTTTGTTCCCTACATTTCCTTAAAATAAATTAGCGAACATTAATTATAGTAAGCTCAGAAAAAAGTTTTAGTACAAACATCCTCCAGTAATACAAATAGATACGCAGAGCTGAGCAAGTCGACGGACCAGTGTAAAGAAACCTACGAGATCGTCACGACACGAGTGAAGCTACATGACTTACATTGATAATCGCTGAAGAGTCCTGCAAGCTTTGCGGATCAGGCATTGGAAAGACACCAGCAAACCATCATGATAATTCTACGGTGAATTATCTCACACCCACGAAAAAACAAGTTTACATCCAAGTTATAATTCCTGAGCCTTCGGCTCAGGAATTGCTGTTTTTGAGTTGAAATTTTACATTAAAGTTCAGATATTATCCTTTGCCTGATGCGGAATGACAAGACAACAATTTTGAACTTAAATTACTAGCGCATAGATACACCAACGTTTGAAAAACTCAAGAATCGCATAGTTACTTTTTTCCGCAGTGCCTCAAATCAATCAAAGTTATCACGCTCACCTGGCATGGGGCGGCTCCACAAGTCCCAAGTTCATATCATCTTCAGGAGACGTGGCGGCGTGGTCAGAGTCCAGGTCGAGGTGGTAGGCTGAGTCAGAAGCGGGGCTTTCGAATTGAGATTCCATCGTCTCCATGGTCTTTGGGTCATCGTCTCGCTCGTCGCCTCGATCACCTTCGTCCATTCTGAAAAATGAAATAAAATTCATCCACTACTCAGCTGCAACATTGAACTGTCGTCAAGTGGGAAAATCAATTCGGCATAGTTTATTGCCATTTCACGCACCTATTAAATGCACTGTCAATTTTAAACTCCAATTAAAACTAACGTTTTCCCACAAGATAATATTGAAGATATGGATAAACAATACATTTAATGGACAAGTTTTCGTTGCTGACTTTGAAGTGCAAAGAAACGCGGGAGTGATTTGACCCAACGGCTAGGAGGTCCTTGTAGCTTTCTCCGTTACGTTGTGCAATAAAAAACCAATCGCGCTAAGAACCCTTACTCCACTCACTGTCTCCGCCAACAGGAAAAATGACCAAAGTTCTTTCCAGTTGACCAAAGAAAGACTCAATCGCACGCAAAAAAACCCCACTCTACTCACTATCTCTGCCCACTAGAAAGAATCAAAGTTATTTCTTATTGACCAAAGAAAGCCCAATCGAGCGCAAAAAAACTTCACTCCACTCACTATCTCTGCCCACTGGAAAGAACCATAGTTTTTTCCTGTTGCCCAAAGAAATGCCCAATCGCGCGCAAAAAAACTCACTTTAATGTCTCTGTTCATAACCTTTTGCAGTTGTTGTTGTGGTTCCCCGGTCTCTTTATTACAAGAGACTCCCACTTTTTGCAGTGGAAACGGTCAGTTGTTCACCTGCTTTGGTGGAGGGAGGTGCGCGTGCGTGCCCGGCGTCCCGACTGTAGGACGCCTTCATCCATCATTTCCTGGTAGCGTTTGCTTGTCTGAAAAACTATAAGAAATCGTGCGCAAAATAGACAGACAGTGGCCCAAACGCGCGCAAGAAACCTCACTCCACTCACTATCTCTGCCCTCTGAAAAGAACCATAACTAATCCTGTTGACAAAAAGAAAGGCCCAATCGTGCGCCAAAAAACTCACTTCAATGTCTCTGTTCACAACTTTTCGCAGCTGTTGTTGTGGTTCCCCGGTCTCATTTTTACAAGAGACCCCCACTTTTCGCAGTGGATACGGTTAGTTGTTCACCTGCTTTGGTGGAGGGAGGTGCGCGTGCGTGCCCGACGTCCCGACTGTAAGACGCCTTCATCCATCATTTCCTGGTAGCGTTTGCCCTTACAGGCGCGACTCGCTCGATTTCCCGCCCCACCCTCGCCTGATCGGCCCGACCAGCCCCCTCGACGTGCCTGAGAAATAGATTTAATATAAATTTGATTCAGGAATTTTTTCGGTTAGTCCAAGAATTGTCGGTATTCTAGAAGTTAGCGCCAAAAATGGCAAGAAATAGTCACGCAACAACACTATCTTTCATTTCTCATTCAATTTCTATGCCTTCATGACAGGCATGTCACAACAAAAAAAGTCCTATAAAAAGATGTGAGTCAATATATTGATATTCAATATCGCTCAATATTCAATAACTCACAAAATTTGTACAAAAAATGAGCAATAGAACAATACTTTATTTGGAAATTATCTGATGGATACTAAGATAAAAATTTTAAAACCCACCTTCTTCGCAAGGCTGTGATCAGTCCGGTGCAGTATATTATTTTTCTTCGATAGTTCACTCGCAGAGATCGAAGAAGCATGGATGGAATTAAAGGGCGGCGGTAGGTTAGAGTTAGGAGTCAGGGGCCGAGAAACGGTTACACCAGATAAAGCGATTGTCACAGCAGAAGAGGTAGATAAACTGTCAACTGCACTAACCTCACTACGCGCACTGAAATCATTAGGCCTTACACTATTATTGCTCCTAGATACAGCACTAGGTATAGTTCTCACTGCCTCAGAAGATTCTTTCAAAGGCGAACCTGGAGGCTCTGTACTACATGTAGAATTTAACGTATTTACGTTCCTAGAACTACTCGATAGCTGATTATTGTTCCGAGAAGTAGGGTTTTCAGTCTCACTTATGACATTTTTTGGTACACTAGCACCGATTAACACTGGGTTAGAATTAAAACCACTCCCCACCACCACACCAAGCTCCAGCGCGCGCTGTGACTTGCAGAACAATTCGAAGTCGCGATCTTCTTTCTCCTTGTCGATGGTGTTTCGATTGATAGAGCTGATGATTGTCTGGTCTATGATACGACGGTGCTGTTCAGGGGTTGGTTCTGGTAATCTAGGTGTGGGAGATTCGGCTGCACTAGGTCGGTCTGGCGCTGAAGTTGCTGAAGCTTGATCGGAAATCGTAACAGCAACAAACTCGTTCGATGTCACTGTAGGACATGACGATGAAACAGCGGGACTCGAAGCGGCCTCATTGTTGATGACAGTGACAGCATTGTTAGGGTTCGACTCAGCATGAGCGGAATCGTTCTGAGCAGAATTTCTCTTAGACACTTTGACTTTTGTAGGAGTCTTGTGAACCGGAACTTTTTTCACTTGGCTCTCAGATATGTTATTCTTAGGAATAGAATTTTCTGCAAGTTTATTGACAGCATTCTTCTCTCTAGAAGCTCTCAAGCGATGATTAGATTTCTTCCTAAATGGTGAAGTAACCTCTGAATCTTCCGTCATATCATTCTCACCAGACCTTGAGGCCGGAGCTTCATTAGCCAATGGACTCTCCATAACACTGGCGCCGTCAGTCCCATGTATCTGACCAGTATCTGGTGACTGAACTTTATTTTCATCGCGATCCGACACCGACGATGGTATCAATGGTAATGGGACAACAGCATCAGAAGAGGGCGTAATTACTAAAGAAGAAGAGTGAACAACTTTACGAATTGAATTTTTTTCGGTGGGAATTGGACGACGAGGAACTTTTAGGCGAGACCCAGTCGCGCAAGTAGCTACAACATCATCCGCGGTATTATTGTGACAGTATATTTTCGGTTGACTTTGACGATTGAGCTGAGGCACAGGACTGTTCTCAGGCAAAACCGTAAAAGTCAATGCACCCATGGTACTTCTTTTACTATTAGTGATGTTAAGATCATTAGTTAGCTCATTCTGCTTTGAAGAAGAGATATCTCTTGAAACATCTGGGGTTTTATAAAGGCAGTCCACGACCATGTCGATGATGGACTGATGCGAGGCTTGAACTGCTAAAGTAGTCACTCCCGCACTGACTGGCGCTTGAGGTTCCTTTCCTTTCTCCTGTCGTTCTTCACCAGATTGCATGATTAAATTCAGCGGCTGATCTACTGTCGAGGTAAGGGGTGACGCTCGGTCTCCACTTATCAAAGGAGGTGATGGTCGGAGCGCGGGACTTCCGTACGATAAAGGAGCATCTACATGCGACATGGTATTTGAGGGAGACACAGCATTGACTGGAGACACGGAATTAACGGGAGATACAGAATTTCCACACATGATCGTAGGAGATGGACGGCTGGCTCGAGATACGGGCGAGGGGGAAGGTGACGCTAGAGGAGAGTGCGTCAAGTTGAGCGGTTGTTGCTGCTGTTCAACGTACGCAGGCGGGCCTAGGTTTTGTTCATGAGGGCGGGTAGATGCTTCACTGGAGGGCAAGTAATATTGAATAGAAGCGTTAGGATACGAAGAATCTGGTCGGTAAGGCCAAGAGGTTGATGCAGGTCTGCTCGCGAGATCCACTGAGCTTTGGGAAGAGGCCGCAGTCAAGTTGGGCGAATCTCGCGCGGTGGACCTCGAGGAAACGTTGATCTCTTCACCAACCTGTAACAGGTAGGACATTAAACCTGGACTAAATGATGTGAATTCCTTGCAGACTTTAGTTTTGCTTTCTTTTTCCTTAGTCTGTGATGTCTTGAAATAAATTTACCAGCTAATCACCTATAAAAGGCTTTCAATGGCAGCTTGTTAATTACGAATATTTTTAGCCATTCCATAGTTGTTTAATAATAGTCAATTTAAAAACAACCATCTTCAATGAAAGTAATTGAATATAAGTATTCCTAAAAGTTAAATACACTATTTGCAAAATCATTGATACAAAATTCAATAAATTCGACTAATGCAACAATAACATTCTAAATTGGCGAACCGGCGATCCAATATTTTTAAATATTTCAAAAATTGAAAGTACCGTACTGCTGCAAATTCTTTCACGCGTTTAGCTTCAGCAAACTATCATATAAGAACAACAATAAATAAATGAAACGATTACATCATTGTGGACGATGAGCTATTCGAGCACTGACCTTAGGCGAAGTAGTGCTGAGCAAAGGCTCAGACCAATGCGATAACTTGATGCGTTTGGCATCAGTATCTTTGTTGTAATCATTGGCATTGGCATCGTTATTGTTATTATTTTTATATGCATTATCGAGAGGAGGGGAAGCCGAAGGCCTGAGCATAGTCTCGTGCAGGTAGCGTTTCTTGGGAGGCTTTGGAGGCGTCATGTGTGTGGTCGAGGACGTCACACTTCTGAAAGGCTCTGCGATCGAACTGTGAAAGTTTGCAATGGGACTTGCTAGGGCCGCTGGTGCCGTAACTGTCAACTGGGAAGCGTTGCTACTAAAAGCTGCCGATGCCGATGTTGATGACAATAGGGTCGCATTGCCAACATGGTTTGGAGAAGCCGCTGAAGTGGTCACTGATGTTGACATTTGAGATGCAGTGCCACCAATTGATGCTGAAGCTGTTGGTGATGGTCGATTTACATTGACACTAACGGACGGAGTAGATTTTGATGCTGTTGTTGCCAAGGATGTGGCCTGCCTAGAAACGTTGCCACCAAGGGAAATAGGATTTGCAGCCCAGCCTGAATAGTTCATAGAAATTAGATGCGACGCGTTGCCGTTAACGGAAGTATTGTAATTGTTTGTCTTGGAAATTTGTGGAGGCGTTTGAGACATGTGCACTGTTTTCGAGTAGCTCCAGTCGGGGGAACTGAAGACCGGTGCGTACGTCACAGTTGTATCGTTTGCAGAAACACAATTAGAATAACTGGATGCTATATTTGGTGACGGAACCTGAGACGAAAAGATAGAGCTGCTCTCAGATATAGAGCAGGCAGCGATTGGACCGTAGGTTACAGCACCACCGCTTGACACCGACGCAGTACTGTTCATGCAGTTAGGGCTAGACACGTCATTAGCAGGAATAACTTGAACACACGTTGATGATGTTTGAGCAATGCTGCTGGTATTATAATTCTCAGATGAAGTTCCGTTAGCAATGACGAAAGAGGAGCTGGCAAGCGAGCTGAGGGCGTTCACAGCGATGTCCTCTTTGTGCGCTATGATTGAGTCTTCGATAGCGGAAGGCAAGACACCGCGGTTGAAACTCGGCACTCGCAAAACTGTTGACGATCCTCCGGAACTTTCAAGCAAAATAATTTGTTCGTTAGGAGCTTGAGGTCTGCTGCGATCAGAGCTAGAGATGCTGCTGAAAAAGCTCTCTTGCTTTGGTTTGGGAACAGAAAAAGATCTTGAAAACTCGGGATCATTCAAACTAGATGAAGACCAGAGATGTTCACCTTCGTTTTTTATGCCTTCTTCTTCAACTTTTATTAAGTCCTCATCTTCAACTTTTATCAAGTCCTCATCTTCAACTTTTATCAAGTCCCTGCGTGAGTCGCACTCGTACACGAGCACTTGTTCTTGGTTTCTTAGACAGGATGTCTTAGGCTGAGGAAGACTCACAATAGAATTGGAGGCAGCGTGACGCCAGAGCGCAGCATGTGAACTACTTAGGGGCACGTGTATGACCGTTGCGTGGGTGAGGTTTAGCGTCAATGCCTCTTCGCTTGTGGGGCACACAGATGCTTCGCCGCAATTTTGATCAAGTGTCTCCGGGCGGTCAAAAAACGACGCTTCTCTCGCAGAAATCTCACAATGCGCGCTTGATGATCCTAGTAACAAGTCGGAGGAGTGCAGGGCTGTAGAGCTTGGAACAGGCGACAGCAGAGTGCTCAGTCTGCCCATCAAATTCTCATCTGTGGAAAATTACTAAAGTTAAAAGTTTTGTGAAAATTGGTTGTCCAGGAAATTAAAGTCAAACGTGACTTTATATCGCACTGTAAAACATAATCGCGATTTTTATTAGCAATTCAAGAGGGGAAGCTATAGGAAAACATGATTGCCTGCATTGTCCGAACTCAAATATCACGGCGACCAACTGCACAATTCCAAACAATTCATTACCAGCCTTCCAAAGTGTAAACCTGAAGCTGAAAAAAAGTTTAATTACTTCCAGTTTCATGACAAATAACTGACCAGCAAGTTTGCCAAAGGTGATAGCGGAAGTTGAGGTCGGGTTAGGCTGATGCCTCGGGACCTTCTGGTTGGATGGTCGCGCTGGAGGAGGCCGTGGGGGCTGCGAGGGGATCTTGTACCATTTAAAGTCAGGGTTCGCCCTCAAGAACGCTTCCTTGAGCTGACGCGCTAGTTCCTGGTAACCTGTTTTCTCGTTCGCGTCCAAATCTGCCCACCACTCGCCTAGTATTTTGGTCACCTGACGGTTCTCCAGGTGAGGGTATTTCTCGCGAACCTGCAATGCAAGAGATCTCGCTTAAAAATCGGAAACGAATCATTTGACCTCGAAGATACAACGTGAGAATAATTTCTAAAAAGGCATTCTTAGAGCACATAATATAATCATGCATAATCTCATAATACTAACACATTCACAGGTGTAATTTTCTTGCTTTCATTGTACATTAAATATATGCTCGTGATGAATTTAAATATGGTCAGAAATGTTAAGCTTTTGTTGTCCGCAATTGGATGGGAAAATTTTAACCTATACGGAAGGAAACGTGGAAAAAGTTTCCCATGCTTTAAAAAAATACGACGTGAGCGGGAGAGGTGGTCCATACAAGCTTGCTGTGTTTTTTCGAAAAGAATTCAAAAGTTTAAAGACAGAGATCTCAGGGACAGCACACAAATTATAAGGATTCAAAATTAGTTCCCAGCAAAGTTAAAAGGGAATTGAAAAGAACAAAATGCACCAAAGCACTAACCAGACCTTTGATAGACTCTTCATACAAAACTTCATAACAGCAAAATAAATTAGAATTTGCTCAGGATTTCTTTAGCAAGAATATACCGGGCAATTTAAATACAAAATTTCACAATTTTATAGCGTGAAGCTGATCTGTCTGCAGTGCTTCTTGCAGAAGATCGTAAGATGCTTCATAGAAAATATGACGAAAACACAATAAATTTAAATTAAATTGGGATACCTCGAGTAAAAAATATATGGTCACCTGGAAATTTATTTACGAAATAGCAGAATGTGAGCCCGACCTGTCTGCAGTGCTTCTTGCAGAAGATCGTGAGATGCTTCATAGAAAATATGACGAAAACAAAATAAATCTAAATTAAATCGGGAGTTCTCGAGTGAAAAAATATATTGTCACCGGGAAATTTATATAAGAAATCTCAGAATTTGGAGCTGACCTGTCTGCGGTGCTTTTTGCAGAAAATCGTGAGATGCTTCATAGAAAATATGACTAAATTTAGATTAAATTTGGATATCTCGAGTGAAAAAAAAATATTTTCACGGGGATATTTATATACGAAATATCAGAACGTGAAGCTGACCTGTCTGCGGTGCTTCTTGCAGAAGAGGAGGAAGGCGTTCATAGGGCGACGCGCAGGGTGCTGTGATGCGCCTTCGTCAGCGCCCTCTGCAGTTCCATGGTGCTGTTGCGCTGCCTGCTCCGCCTCACCATCACTTACGTCCAGCTCACCACCACCACCGCCGCGATCCTGATGATAAATTTATATCATTAAATTTCATTCCGACAAAGTTTAATTAGATTACACGAAATTAGATTATAAGATAGGCATATATTAGATTTAATTAAATTTCCTCGCCGATTTCATTTGATTAGAATTCCTCGGCTAACGCAGTTTAAAAACAAATTTAAAACGTGTAGAAGTTCACCGCTATCGAAGCAGAATGCCTTGCCGTGAAATAAATTTTACAGTTTATATCCAAACACATTAAGAATATTTCGGTTAACAACCAGCTCTCTCTCTATTAACGTAATTATTCGATAATTTTTCGATTTTATAAATATTAATGAAAAATTTGCTAATACGGAGGTTTTCAGGATGAAAATAAATCATTTTACATCGTTTATTTTGCTACATCGTAACGATATTGACAGAAAAATTTATCAGGTTACAAAAATTTGTTAAACTGCATTAAACACCGAATTCAACAGTCCGCTTCTATGGTTTTGATATCTGACTGAATGAAATCGCAATTTATCTCACAGACTTGCACAATTGAATCTAGCATAATTACATTTCATCACATGATTAACTCTAATTTGCAAGTCGAAAATTACTCAAATTGTAATTGATAATGATAAAATTAGTTCTATATTCTTTCAATTATTCCATACATCACGGATGGCAAGTACTCTGGAAATTAGGCGAACACTGTCGTAATACAAGTCGGAAATATGGAAATCAATAATAAATACATCATCGATTGAAGTAGAAAATAAAAAAAAAGCTCTCAGGACATAGAGCACTTAATGCTAAGGCTTTCTTTGTATGGTAAACGAAAGAGCTTCCTGCCTGGGTAATGTTGGCTGGGTACAAGCTTGGCACAAAGTGGATGTACTGTTCTCGTTTCTACTTCAAAAATCATATTTATGATCCTTATAAATACCTATTGCTTTGAATATTCTTTAAATGAAATTCACACAAAATATTTCTCGAACGGCTTTGCAAACAATTCCCTAGTTATCTCAGAAAATATTCAAACTTTATTGCTTTTTAAAATACAAAAACGAGTAGATTCGGAAACCTCATGTGATACTAGCGCACTTTCGGGAAATAATGCTGTTATGATCACAATACTGTATAATAATTATTTGTTTATTTATATCAGTATTTATCTTTGTTATTCTGAAATTTTCTGAGCTCATCTTTTATTTTCTTCATCTTTCTTAACGTATTTTTCTCAATTGTTAGTTAGACTTGGGAACTGAATAAATGGTCCTCTGTATGACGTGTCCGTCATTGGGGGGGGGGGAATATTTTGATAGAAGTTAGTTAGCGGAAGCCGAATGTGGAGGTCATATGTACAGTGTAATTAAGTTCATAAATTCAACGTCAGTAATTGTGTCTTGTCACAATTATCAGTCAGGAAATCGTACAAATAACATCACAGTAATGTTCATGTCTGCCCTGTCTATGGCATCTTACACAACACAACACCGCAGAAAGTCATCCTCACATAAGCATATTCCGTGTGTTAAATATGCTCTGAACATTTCCAGACCAAATGAGCGAGTATTTAGTACTCGTCTTCATGTGGCCAATATGGCCACCAGTGAAAAACCTGTTAGCAAGTCGTTGGTTTTATATGGTCTATGCCTATAATTCTTTTGTCATTGGGGGGGGGGAATATTTTGATAGGCGTTAGTCAGCGGAAGCCGAATGTGGAGGTCATATGTACACAGTGTAATTAAGTTCATAAATTCAACGTCAGTAATTAATTGTGTCTTGTCACAATAATCAGTCAGGAAATCGTACAAATCAAAACTAACATCACAGTAATGTTCATGTCTGCCCTGTCTATGGCATCTTACACAACACAACGCCGCAGAAAGTCATCCTCATATAAGCATATTCCGCGTGCAAACTATGCTCTGAACACTTCCAGACCAAATCAGAGAGTATTTAGTACCGTACTCGTCTTCATGTGGCCAATATGGCCACCAGTGAAAAACCCGTTAGCAAGTCGTTGGTTTTTGATGATCTATGCCTGTAATTATTTTGTCATCATTTGGCATATATACCGATATAGATTTTTAGATTTTCGAATATTACTTAACTTTACGCTTAATTCCGCGAGCCAGATCATTTTTAACTTATAACAAAACGAGTGGAAAACATTTTTTATACCGAATTGTAATTCTAAAGAACGCCACGTGTTTTTGAAAAACTCGTTATGCAATCGTCAACAGAGTTTTGCCGGTCTCCACATTGAAATGCGGAAACCGCATTCTTTAATCTAATAAGTTTATCCATAGCTGCAGCTCCGGTCCCGCTTTCAATAGAAGAGTTAAGATCCAAAATTTATTGTTGCAAGTGTGTTCATGAATTATTAAATAGGCACTCACTGCTAAGCAAAGTGAGAGTGAACAACACAGTCGCGTAATTCTTGAAATGAATGTAAGTGCCAACGTACTGCGTGGTCATAGATCATAATAGTTAACATTCCTCAGACGAACAATGTCAGAATGTTAATGCCTGATTTGTTGCACTTGTGTCGGATGTCGGATAGCTGGGCATGTGTAGCGAATAGCAAATAAATTTGGAGCTTTCGAAAGTAAAGCGTAGGAGAGTGACGTTTACTTATTAACGCGCTTTAAGAGGACTTATGCAGATCATTGAAATGAACAACAATTGGAATCAGAAACCCGAATATTAAAGAATGTTCCGACCCCTATTTGGGATAAATCCGAATATTTTTTCCACCAAAAATGGGACAATATTAAATGTTTAACATGCATATTGTTCAAGAAAACCGTTTCATGTAAGCTATTTTTTCATAAAGCTATATTGACTAGCAATGCCTGTTTAGAATGTAAACGGTGCAAACACTTTATGTTTACATGTGGGCAACAGTGAATAAAAAAGCATATTAGCATAGAAGTGAAACATCAAAATGTCATTACTCTAGAAGTGAAATATCAGAATGAAATTACTCTTTAAACTATCAACGTATGTTTGAACATTAAAGCAATCGTCGAACAGGAGAGTGTTCATTAAGATTCAGCACACCCTGGACCATTTGCAAGGCAAGAAGAAAGACAAATACTGAAGCAACTTCAGTCCAATCTTTTCACAATTAAGGGCCACGATAAATCGATACCTACGCAGTAAATTCATTCATTCGCGCAACTGTTTTTTTCGGTTATTTAAACTTTATTTTACTTTTCTATCTACTTGATGCTGATGTCAACGTAAAAATCTCTCATGCCTATACGAGTTCAAGTCATCAACAAGAGTGGCAATTGGACAATGTCGTCGAGAAGGTTGCAGCGCACTTTAACAGAACCACGGTTGAAATAAAAACTTATTACTTCAACTATAACGGAAAATATTCTTAAAATGCTCTAGGTAATGCGAATGAAAGTTTTTCCATCACGCTTAATTTGATCCCGAAAATTGTGCTTTTCAAGCATATGAGATATTAGGGGGCAATGCCAGCAGTGCTGAAAGGCACATCAGCAACGCTAGTAGTAATTAAGGACAAGGAAAATCTGCAACCAAAGCAGCATTTACTGTAGCATTTAGCATGCAGCACCACCTGTGGGACTGTAGCCCTAGCAGTACCACCAGAGAGACTAGCACTAGCAGCAGCACCTGTGGGACTAGCACTAGCAGCACCATGCATAAGTTGACATACAGCACTAGCAGCACCACCTGTGGGGCTGTAGCACTAGCAGCACCATATGTTGACTTACGGCACTAGCAGCACCACCAGAGGGACTAGCACTAGCAGCACCACATGTGGGACTGTAGCACTAGCAGCACCACATGTGGGACTGTAACACTAGCAGCACCACATGTGGGACTGTAGCACTAGCAGCACCACATGTGGGACTGTAGCACTAGCAGCTCCACATCTGGTCCTGTAGTATTAGCATCATCAGCAGTAGCATTGGCAGCACCAGCAGAGGCATTAAGCAGCACCAGCAGTAGCATTAGCAACCGTAGCATTAGCAACCGTAGCAGTAGCAACAGAAGACCTGAATCAGTAGCAGCATTAACAACTAGAGCAGCAGAAGCAACAACAGCACAACGTGCAGCCGGACTATTAATATCAACAACGCGAACCGTAGCAGCAACAATATAAACTATCAGTATCAGCAGTAGCAGCAGCACTACCAGCACTTGCAGGAACGCCGTAGGGTGGCTAGCTAGAGCCGGTCCAAGTCACCATGTCATTTAGGTCAGCAGGGGAGGTATAGCAAGACATGAATGTATTGAAGCTGCTGATGACGCTACCTCGCCTCCAGTATTGTATGTCACCACATAACAGCGACAATGTTCACCTCAAAATACAGGTCCATATTTCTACATAATTTTGCGAGCAGAAGTAGAAAATAGAGAGCAGTAAGGCGCGCGCGTCCGTTACATGCGCTGTCGACAGCCAGCTAGTCACTCCAGGCAGACGCATGGCTGAGGCAGACTGACGACTGCCTTACACGGGCCGCATTCTCAACCTAATCCTAAACTCATTCTCAACCTAATCCAATTTACTTTATTTCTGATAGTGAGTTTAATCATTAAATGTGAAATCAACTTTCGATTATCAAAGGTTGGGATAATTGCGAGTTTTTTTTTCGATCATCCAACACCCGGATGAGACAAGCTTCCAACTTTCATGCTTCCAAGTTCCATCGCGGCACGATGGCTGCAACACTGCAGCCAGTTCCAGCCACTGGCGTACGCCACCAAGCCATCTACTCAGCCGCTCGCGCGCATGGCTTCGTATGTCTTTAGTATGTTCACGCGCGCGCTTGTCGTGCAGCTTGTTGCTGTCATTGGTCTCTTTTCTTCCTTCCATCTTAATTTCCTAGCCTTCCTAATTTTTCAAAAGCTTAAGATTGAAATAAACATTAAAAGATAAAAAAACAGACATAATTTCAACAACAATCAATATGCAATCGAAAATATTGTTCGAGGTCATCTCAAGTCGTGAGTTAGGCGGAACTCCACCAACTCCACAGTTGTCA